GCATTTTTCAGTCTTCAATCAAAGCACTGTGAAGTTCTTACTAGAATCACGATCGGGCAACATCGTATATGACTCGGAACACATAACCGAGATCATATCATTATACCTGGAAGTGAAATCCCGGAATGGTTCAGCCATCAAAGAGTCAACTCTTCAATAAAGATGCCACTGCCTCTCAATATTCGGAATGATAGTCAATGGATGGGAGTTGCTTTCTGCTGCATTTTTGCCGGTGGTGATTCTTCGGGGGGGGGGGGGTGAGCGAATCAGGTGTAATGCTGTTATCCATTGTGGAGAACCTCGACGTCTTGATAACGTTAGGATTGTTTTAGGGAAAGGATATAATCAGCCCATAAAAAAAGACCACCTTTTTCTTCGTTACTGGGGGCGTGACGTGTTATATCCATATTACTTGGAGAATGAATGTGGTGAAAGTGAAACCGAGAATACATCAACACCGGATTGCTCAAATCAGGAATGCGATGAACTTGAATTGTCATTCATATATAAGGCTTATGGCAAAGGTGTTGGGGGTGAAGAAATGTGGGGTTGGGATAGTGTATGAGAAAGATTTGGAAGATCTCCAACTTACAACAGAGCAACACATTATCAAAGAAGGGCACAAATTGAATGAAGACTCCACTGTTGAGGGACATAGAGACAGACATGTTGAGAACCATTAGGTACATGGGAAGAAACGTCTGTTGATTATGCTGACTTTCTAATCACCGCTAATTCTTTGCGTCAGTTTTCTATTTGGTACCTCATCTATTTTTCTACTTTTGTTTTGATGGTCCAACTACTGTATTTTGATATATATCTTTTATAAAAATTTGGTCGTTAACTTAATAAAAAATTGTAATATGACATAATGTAATAACAATTTTAGTCTTTAACACTTACGTATTCTATTAAACTAAACCTAATTTGGAATAAACATACTATTTAAATCATCATTCACCATATAAACAAAATACGACAATATATAAGAGGGGAAAAAAGCTTCTTTTGTCCGTCATTCACCAAAACTAGATGTACGATGTAGGTCAATTCGAATTAGTCAATGCGAAACCTTGTAACGGGAAGGATAACAAAAAAAATAGAGAATTTTAGAATACTAAACTACTTTGGCAAATGTAATATTTAAAAAAATAATTTCTAATTAGAGAGATGGAGAAGAGAAATTATTGATAACTTAAATATTGATGGTAAATACCAATTGATAACTTTTAACCACTTACTCTAGAAATTATTGACGGTAAATATAATAGTTAATTTATAGTTGAATATTATATATATATATATATTAAACTATAGTTAATATAGGATTTGAAGTGAAAATGAGTTTAAAATTTTAATATTTTTAAAATATATTTAATATTTTCTATACTTTATAATAATGAAAAAAATATTATATTTAATTTAAAAATATAAAATACTAAACTAAATTTTGCTTTTCAACTTATATAAACTTTTATATAATATTTTTTTCAATTCGTCTTACCTACACGACAACTCTGTGATATATTATAAAAAATTATATAAAATCACTAAATAATACGTGTATTTTGGCTCTATTTTTTTTTCTAAATACAATATACCTCTAATTTAACACATAAACATAATATTTTTTAGATATTAATATAAAAAGGGTAAAAATACACCATTCCTGACTGAACTATACTTTCTCTCATATTTTACTCTATGTACTTTCAATTTTTTAATTTACCCACTAAACGTTTAAATTACTACAGTTTTGATCACTTTGAATTATTTTATTATTATTTCTATATGATGTGACATTTTTTTATTATTTAATTTAAAATAATTGAAAATATAAAATAAAAACAGAAAGTGATCGGACACTATCTTCGATCGCCGTAGATGGTGGCGTTCGGTCTCAAATTTCATGAGTCTCGTTCGTCTTGACACCTTGATTCCAAATCTAGCCTACATTTTGCCGGAACTTGCTCTAGAGTTCACGAATTAGAGATCAAAAGTGAGGAAACTGAAATGTTTCGGACGAGATTCATGAATTTTGAGACATTTTCTGATGAAACTACAACTAAATTTGAACTCAGGGGTTGAAATGAACAAGACCCATGAAATTTGAGATCGAAGGTAACTTGCCTTTACCAATCATTGGTAAAGAAGACTTACTACCCCTGTTAGTTGGGGCTGGTTGGCCTAGAATGTTCCGCTCCAAATCGTTATTATCTTTCTAGGTGTCTTCTATTGCCTTAGTCTCATGCTGGATTCGACTGACGTGATCGGAAACTTGTCTCTAAATACATTATATTTTGATCTTGATTTCTGGTGATTATGCAGGAAATTCTTATTCACAATTCCTTTCACAGGCAGCACCTAAGCAGAAGATTCGAATTAAACTTAAGTCATACTGGGTACCCTTGATCGAGGACTCTTGCAAGCAGATTTTGGATGCCGCTCGAACTACCAATGACAAGACGATGGGACATGTGCCGTTACCGACCAAGAAGAGGATCTATTGTGTCCTTAAATCCCCACATGTACACAAAGATGCAAGGCTCCACTTTGAGATTCGGACACACCAGCGCCCTTATCGATATTCTATACCCAACAGCACAAACGATCGATTCGTTGATGCAACTCGACCTTCCTGTTGGGGTTGATGTGGAAGTCAAGCTCTGAAGAATCAACACTGTAGGTTTAGATAAATTTTTTGTATAAGTTGCTAAAGATGTCACTTGAAAACTTATATTAAGATCTGCTTCATTTTTTTTCTTGTATAGTTGATATATTTTGCAGACTGAAAAGTACTTCAAGAAATGCAAACATTCAAGGTATTGAATTTGGTGATTGCAAAAGATGAAGTGATTGTTATTTAGACGAACACGAATTAGGATGAAATTCAAAATATACCGAATTATTCTTAACAAACCGATAAACTAATATAAGATTCTTAGTGAAAATAAAAATGTCCAACATAAGAAATAACCATCGAGGTCAAGACCCTGTATTTATAGAAATAACCATCTTTTTTAAATAGTCTATAATATTATAAAATAATATCAATTTAAAGTTTTGTTTTTTATAATCGTCGTTATTTAATTAATTAATCTAGATAAGATATTATAGATAATGTAAAGATTTGAAATTTATAAAGAGAATAATATTTTTTTAAATATTAATGGGAGAAAAATCTAAAAGTTAAAATAATTTTATATTATAATTTATAATCCAGGCTTAGTCAACAGTGAACAGAAGAAAGCAAAGGAGGCAGTTGTAGTCTCAGCGTCTTGGATTCTTCCGGGAAAACACCTTCATTTCCACCACTACACGCTTTCTTCCTTTGGAATTAATAATTATACAGAAGCCTTTGTTTTTGGAAATTTGATCTCCTTTTCTCTTCAATCTTGCTCTTTTACTTGGACCGTTTCTAGTTTCTTCCTGCTTTTCAGGCCATCTATATATATATTGATTTTGAACATCGGATTGAGACATAAAATATTTCCAATTTTCTATGATGTGGATCCGTCTGATTTGAGAAAACAAAAGGATAAAGTTGGAAAAGGGTCATAAAATATTTTACGTGTCAAAAAATATGTAGTACATACTATTTATCAAAAATGGAATGTGAGTATATCACACGTTAAAAAAATATGTAGTACATATTAATGGGAAAATAAAAAAGTCTAAATGTTAAAATAATTTTATATTATAATTTATAATTAAAGTAGTCCAAATTGTCGACTTTACGCTCGACTCGAGACTTAGTCAACAACGAACAGAAGAAGGCAAAGCAAGCAGTTGTAGTCTGAGCTTCTTGGATTCTTCCGGGAAAACACTTCATTTCATTTTCGATCCAACTTCCACCACTACAATAATCCTGTTTAATTTATTAAATAGCTTAATAACATTCTATTAATTTTTTTGAATCACTAATTTTATTCAAAATAAAAAAAATCTAAATTATAATAAATATTTACAATCATAATCATAAATTATGCACATAATTAGGACAATTTCTTATAATCATTAAAATAAAACTAACAAATTAAGATCACATAAGGACCATACAAGGAAAGATTAAAATCTAACGAAGAAAACTTGAATAAAGATAGATACAGTCATATCTGATCGCATCGACAAATGAACCACAAAAGGGATTAAATTATTGAAAGACTATCGACAGATCTCAAATCAGACTTGAGCTACTTGAAAATTTATCAACGAACACATAACAAATATCCAAGTTCAATACGAGAATTCAAAGTATAGAAGATCAACAATATAACAGATAAGCATCATCTTGATCAGTCGTGATGATGTCTAATCAACCCTTAAAAAAGATAAGTGAACATAACGGTCAAACGACCGAAAGAAGTATTAAAATGCAAAAGAAAATGTGTCATAAAGATAGATGAAAACGTGTCATACATACATATTTATTAAAAATAATAAAATAAAATAAATAAATATGTAATATAAGAAAATAAAAAGATAATAAAAAATATCGACGGTCAACAAACATAATTAAAATTGGTATCATCATCAATCAATAAAGATAAAAAAGAGGATGAACAACTTCAATGAGAGAAAATCAGGAGGAAAAAATTAGGAGATGAACATTCTATTAATTCTAATATATTCATTTGGTTTATTTTTTCACCGTATTTATATCATACATTAAATATTAATCTTATAAATACTTGGTATTATTTAAGATTTTGATTGGAGTTAGTGTTAATAGAATACACTCAATTGAGAAAAATTATAAATGGTCTAAAAGTTAAAATAATTTTATATTGTAATTTATAATTAAAGTAGAGTCCACCATGTGGACTTTACATTCGACTCGAGGCTAGTCAACAGTGAACAGAAGAAAGCAAAGCAAACAGTTGTAGTCTCAGCTTCTTGGATTCTTCCGGGAAAACAGGTTCATGGAAATTTGATCTCTTTTTTCTATTTATTTGGACTCTTCCTAGTTTCTTCCTGCATATCAAGCCATCTATATTTCTTTGATTTGAACATCAGATTGAGACACCCTTTTCTTCCTCCTATAATTCGTCATGTTGTCGTTGCCTTCGTCTTTCTCGTCTATTTTCAGACACAAATATGATGTTTTCTTGAGTTTTAGAGGTGAAGATACCCGTAGAAATTTTACAGATCATCTCTATGATGCTCTTCAACGCAGTGGAATCGTCACTTTCAGGGATGACCCGAAGCTGGAGGCCGGCGAAGAGATTGCCCCAGAACTCTTTAAAGCCATTCAACAATCATGGTGCTCGGTTATCGTTTTCTCCGAAACCTACGCCTTTTCAAGTTGGTGTTTGGAGGAGCTTGCTGAGATTGTTAAAGAAAAATTGGAAAAAGGTCATAAAGTATTTCCAATTTTCTATGATGTGGATCCGTGTGATTTGAGAAGACAAAAGGATAAAGTTGGAGAAGCATTTGCCAAACACGAAGAGAGATACAAGGAAGATAAATACAAGATCCAAAGATGGCGAAATGCTTTGACTGTGGTTTCTAACATCAAAGGATGGCATTTGAATAACAAGTAATTCATTCTTTTCTCTCTTTGATCATTTATTTCATGGTCATATCTGTTCATTTCTTAAACTGAATAAAAAAAAACTAAATTTAATTTCTATTGTAGGCATGAATCTGAAATCATTGGAGATATTGTTGAAAAAATATTAGCAAAATTACGTCAAACGTATCCTGTTGTTCATGATAAGTTGGTTGGAATTAGTTCCCGTTTAGAGGAGTTGTATTCAAAAATCGATGTTGGAGAAGATGATGTCCGTATTATAGGAATATGTGGAATGGGTGGCATCGGTAAAACCACTCTTGCAAGAGTTGTTTACGACCAAATGTCATCTCATTTTAATGGCAAAAGCTTTCTTGCTGATGTTCGAGAAGTTTCAAACAAATTGGGACTTGTTTCTTTACAGAAACAACTTCTTTCTCAAACCTTGTCCCAAGGAGGATTCAATATATTCGATGTTGATGAAGGAAATGCAATCATCAGTCATAGGTTGTCTCACAAAAAAGGTTCTTGTTGTTATCGATGATGTTGATAACAGAAAACACTTGGAACACTTGGTTGGAAGGCGTGATTGGTTCGGTTTAGGGAGTAGAATCATTGTAACAACAAGAGATGAACATCTGCTTCGATCCTATCAAGCCGATTATGTGTATAAGCCTACAACGTTGAGTCCCAATGATGCACTTCGGCTTTTTAAATTGAAAGCTTTCGATAGTGAGACAGTATTAGAAGGTGTTTTCATTGAGCTTTCTAAACATGTTGTACGCTACGCTGGTGGTCTTCCCTTAGCTCTTGAAGTTTTGGGTTCTTTTTTGTGTGGTAGAGATGCAACTCAATGGAGAAGTTCAATTGAAAGACTTAAACGAGATTCCAACAAAGAAATTCTAGATAGGCTTCAAATCAGTTTTGATGGATTAGAAGAAAGGGAAAAGAATATATTTCTTGATATCGCATGCTTCTTCAATGGGGAGGAGAAAGATTTTGTAACCAAAGTGTTGGATGGTTGTGAGTTTTTCCCAGATATTGGAATCGATGTTCTCGTTAAGAAATCCCTAGTGGCAGTTGATAGAGACAACAGATTGTGGATGCATGACTTGCTACAAGAAATGGGAAGAAAAAATTGTTTGGGAGAAATCTATTGATGAACCTGGAAAGCGTTGCAGATTGTGGGATGAAAGGGACATCCAACATGTTCTAACAAAAAACACTGTAAGTCATTCAATAAAACTAAGTCTTCCTACGTACAAAAATATACAAAATATTTTGAATATTCGATCGAGTAGGAGGAATATATTTATTCATTATATTGTAAAACTATGTCATTTAAAATATTTTTAGTTTATTATAAATGTTAATAAGGATTTGAATAAGTATATAATTTCAGTAAATCACTCTCATTGGAAAATGTTATAATTTGTTTAAAGTGATTTATTTACTATATTCCGATCAAAAGATTATCGTATTGTTAAACATAGGTGTAAATTGTCAAAAGTTTTATCATGCAGTTTAAACCATTCATTCTGTCTTCTTATACTCTGTTCTTGATTACATGTAGGCCACGGAGGTGATTGAAGCCATGATCATCGACAATCAAAGGTAGGAAAACATGGGTATTGATTTTAACGTTTTTCCATGGATTCGAAGAGTTCTTGAAATATCACATTACAATACTCTTATCCGAATATGCGTCAGATACAAGTATCAAACACGGATGATTGAAAAACAAAGTAATGGAGCAACATAGCTTTTAGGTATTGGATTTGTTTTTGCATAGTTTGAAGCTCATTTTTTGTTTTTCTCATGGTTATCAGGGAATCGAACAAGACACTCAATTTGAGTGTCGATGCCTTCTCGAAGATGAAAAGATTGAGATTGCTCAAAGTTCTTTGCCTCTCAAATTGTGATGGTCTCAAATATCTTTCTAATGAACTACGGCTTTTAGATTGGGAAGGATGTCCTTTAAGATCTCTGCCCTCCGGCTTTCAACCGGACAACCTTGTTGGACTTCTCTTACAATACAGTTGCATTGAACAACTATGGAAGGGAACCAGAGTAAGAATTAATTCTATTTTTAGGATGAATAATTAAAATTTGATTATGATAGAGACAAAAAATAACAAGAACGAGCTTTCTTATGTTTTCTCTTTTCTCTCTAATTTATTATTGTTTTCAACAGCCCTTGTACAAGCTGAAAGTGTTAAACCTCAGAGGCTCCCCGAACCTGATCAAGACTCCAGACTTCACAATGGCCCCAGGTCTTGAAGTTCTGATCCTGGAAGGTTGTACAAAAATAGTTGATGTTCATCCATCCGTAGCAGAGCTTAAGAGGCTTCAAAATTTGAATTTGAGAGGCTGCAAAAGTCTTAGGAATCTTCCAACCAAAATTGGAATGGAATCTCTTCAAACATTCATTCTTTCGGGTTGCTCAAATCTTCTATGGTTTCCAGAGATTGATTGCAAAATGGATTGTCTAAAAACTCTTGATCTTTCCGGATGTTATAGAGTTGGATTTTTGCCAGAGAGTTTGCAGCTAGCAGAGTTTTTGGAAGAGCTTGACTTGAGTGAAACGGCTATAACAAAACCACCTTCCTGCATTTTTCGACTTAAAAATCTTAAAGTTTTGTCTTTCAACGGCCGCAAGGGATCTTCATCTAAGTTTCGAAAAAATATGCCTTCTCTCTTCAAAAAATTCCAAAGAGGAAAGACAAATTCAATGGCTCTGATGTTGCCTTCGTTGTTGGGTTTGAGTTCATTGACAGAGCTGAAACTAAGGGACTGCAATCTTTGTGAAGGAGATATTCCTATTGATATTTCTTGTCTATCCTCTTTGGTAATGCTCGATCTCAGCAGTAACAATTTCATCAGCCTACCTGATTCTCTTACTCGACTTTCCAAGCTTAAATATCTTAAATTGATGAATTGCTGGGGGCTGAAATCGTTGCCAGAGCTTCCAACAAGTACAGTAGTTGTGAGCATAGATGATTGTGCTTCTCTGGAACTAATTGCTAATCCATCAAAAGTATGCAATTCAAGTGATTTTGTGGGTGTTATAGGTACCAACTGCTACAGATTGGCTGAGAACTTCAATGCATTAACATTGCTGAAAAAACATCTCAAGGTTGTTCAATCTCTCTTTTTTGCTCAACAAAATCTCGTACTTAAGAATGTGTTTTTAGTTACCAGCTAAGGGTGTTTTATTTTGCAGGTATTTGCAAATTCTTTTAGGAGGTTCGAAGTTATTATACCTGGAAGCGAAATCCCGGAATGGTTCAGCCATCAAAGAGTCGACTCTTCAATCAAGATGCCACTGCCTCTCAATATTCGGAATGATAGTCAATGGATTGGAGTTGCTGTCTGCTGCATTTTTGCCGGTGGTGATTCTTCGGGGGTTGAGCGAATCATCTATAATGCTGTTATCCATTGTGGAGAACCTCGACGTGTTGATGACGTTAACATTCCTTTAGGGAAAGGATATAATCAACCCATAAAAAATGACCACCTTTTACTTGGTTACTTGGGGCGTGACGTGTTATATCCATATTCCTTGGAGAATGAATGTGGTGACAGTGAAACCGAGAATACATCAACACCGGATTGCTCAAATCAGGAATGCGATGAACTTGAATTGTCATTCTATTATGTTGCTAGCAAAGGTGTTGGGGTGAAGAAATGTGGGGTTGGGATAGTGTATGAGAAAGATTTTGAAGATGTCCAACTTACAACGGTAACACCTTAACCTATATTCAAACCTGAATACAAGTTAAAGATGTCACATTGTTTTTGTACTATTTTTCCTACTTCAAAATTTTGCTTTTATTTTTTTTTCAAATCTTCCAAGTTTAGCAATTATTTTTAAATTATTTAAACACATAAAATAATAATAAAATATTTAATTTTCAATTCGTATTTAGTTTGATGTGACAATTAGACAAGTCTATATTACTTCATATCACTATTTACACTGCTTAAAAATAATCCAATCAATCCTTATAATTTATTACCACTCATATATATATCTACTTAACCACTTATCATATTTTCTTCTTTCTTTATTATGATTTCTCATATTATATTATTCTAATATTTTAGCTCAACTTTTATCATACATTTTTTATATCACCATGTATATATAACATTTGTAATAATTATAATTAAATTTATTAAAACATCTCCTAAAAAATATAAAAACATTAATATCGAGTATTTTATGTAATAAGCACGTAAAGTAACCTTATAATAGTCTTTTTCTTTCATGTATAACATTATTCACACACACATACATATTCAAATTCAATCCATTTAATTTATGCTTATCATATCGCATAACAATATTGTGTAACACATATATTTGGTACAAAATATCGTATAAAAACATAGTATAAAACCATTTAATCAATTAAATAAGAATTAACCATATCATTTCATATATGAGTAACCTATCATTTATCTTTTCATCTATAAACCATTTAATTTTTAAATCAATTTTTCATTTACATATAAAACTTCATTGTGATACAATAATTAGTCTAATTTCACATTCTAACATCAAATTCAGAATTCTAAGTTTTTAGTTCCAGCATAGTGCATCATCTATTAAATAATTTCACTTCAGTCCCTAAATTTTTCCATAAATTTCAAATAAGTCCTTACAATTTCACAAGTTTCAATTTGATCCAAATCATCATCCAAATATCAATTTTAGCACTACAACATTCAATTTCAACCTAATACATCATTTGAACTAATCTCCATATTTCTCAAATTATACAATTAAATCCCTATACTTTCACAATTTTCCAAGTTGGTTCAAATCATAATCTAAGCATGTAGAATCACTCATACATCATTTCTAATCCTTATAAAATCTTTCCACAATTTTTCCTTGTTTTCTTCCTTGAGGTATAATTGAACAAAAATATTTCAAGCTTGATTTTCAATTTGATTCAAACATAATTTCATCATCAACACATCATTTTCATCCATTCTCAATCATTTCCATATCAACAACAAACCAATGATCCAAGAATGGAAACAATGAAATATTATCACCAAATGATAGAGAATTTGATATGGAACATTTTTCTATTTCATAACTTAATCCAAAAATCAAAGAAAAAAAGGACTAAAATGAAGAAAAAGAAAGAAAACATGCCTTGTCTTCTTTTTCATTCATGGTTCACGGCATATATAGGAAGGAGAACCAAATTTCTGGACAAATCTCCCAAAATATCTATGTACACTTGTAAAATTTTTATTAAAAATGAATTTAAAATTCATTTTAGTCCAAAAGTCATAATCACCCTTAATGAATCTTAATAATTACCATCATTCCATCCTTTTGTCTCCATTTTCATAACATTGAATAAATATAAAAATATCATTTATTAATCTCCACCTTTGAATTCTAATTTTCAAAAAATTCAATTTAGTCATTAAATTTCATTATTCTACTTTAACATGGAAATTCCTCCAAGTTTCACTAATTCACACCAAATTCCACTAATTAAAAATATCAATATAATATTTCTAGCCCCAAACTACCTTACTTTAAATTTTTGTAGACTTTCGATTCGATACTGTTATCCGAATATTTTATCGATCTTTATCACTTATTTGATTTTAATATAATCTCTGGATCAAAATATGAAAGAAACATAAATACCATTCTTAAGGGTGAACTTTTCATTTAGGGGACCATATCACATAACTATTTAAAATTACACTTTGATCGCTAAACATTCAAAATTTCCATTTTAATCACTAGATGAAATTTTTTACAACAAAAAAGCAAGACATCAATCAAAGTAGGGCACAAATTGAATGAAGACTCCACTGTTGATGGACACAGAGATAGACATGTTGAGAATAGAGGTGTAAGAGAGCCGAGTCGAGCTCGAGTATTGTTGAGTTTGACTCGACTTGAAAACTCTGAAATGGAGCTCGACTCGACTTGAAAACTCGCGAGCTTAAAATTTTTAAGCTATACTCGAGCTCGAAATTTTGAACTGAAGCTCGTGAGCAGCTCGAAAAGGCTCTAAATGAAAAAATATTAAACTTAACTCAATTGAAGCCTCAAACTCAAACTTGAACATAAACCATACATGAAAATCTTATTATATTTTAAAAAAATCAATACATAAATGTTAATATTATTAATAATTTTTTTTAAAAAAAATAAAATCTTAATATATTATATTTTCGAGCTACTCACGAGCTTTTCGAGTCGAATATCAAGTAGCTCGTTTCGGCTCGTTAAGAACTTGAATAGAGCTCGAGCTCGATCTCGAGTTGAGTCCATTTGATCCGAGTATTTATCGAGCCTTGATCGAGTCGATCTAAAGTAGCTCGCGATCTGTCTCGTCTCATTTACAACCCTAGAAACCATTAGGTACATTGGAAGAAACGTTTGTTGATTATGTTGACTTTCTAATCACCACTCTCTTCTTAGTTCTTACTAATTATTTGCGTAAGTTGTCTATTTGGTACCTCATCTATTTTTCTACTTTTGTTTTGATTGTCCAACTACTATATTTAATTTAATTGTCTATATAAATATAAAATTCAATATAAATTGAATAATTTATTAAAAGAATGACCAAGATACCCAACTTAAATAGTTATTTTGAGAATACTTAAACTGTGATTCTATAACGTGTCACATATCACACTTGTACATTGACAAACCTGTCTAGTAGTAATTCAATTATCCTAGATGAAGTTTTTTTCTACTTCACTATTTTGTTGGAAATGAAAATGGTAATACAATATTTTCATGTGTTATATCGACTGTTCATTTTCTCATATAATTTTTTAAATATATTAAAAAACGTAAAAAAAAATGATTTTTTCATGATTTTAATGAAATAAAAAAGAATACGGCATTATTTTATGTTTAGAGATAAAATTATTGATCAAATTTATTTTTTCATGCAAGAGATGAAGCAAATTTCTACACCTACCCAAAACATAAGTTCAGCTCTCAAAGGATAATTTCTTGCAAATTAAGCTAACTAGAATCAATCTATGGTATTCCTTGTACGTCAAGTTATCTGCGATTTAATTTGCATTAATTATTAAATCGCATTTAGAATGTAAATAACAAGATAATTTGTGAATATTTTGAAACACAAATAAGAAATTGGATATTAAAAGTTACTTCAGTTATGCATAATTGACGATTATAAATTACATGAATGATCACTTAATTATAAGACAATTTCAATTTGACTATTAATTTATTAGTTTTTTTTATTAATCTGGGGTAAGTATAAGGTTGTATCTGTTCAAAGATAACTCTTAATCATTTGGCATTGAGCGCTCACACTCCTGACATTCATGATGCTCGAACTCAAGACCTCAAGGAACAATAACAATTCCTTTACCACCAAGGTCGCTTGATTCGTGTAATTTATTAATCTTTTCAATCAAGTCACTTAACTATCTAAATGATACCAATAAATTTATCTATCGTTAACATTTAATAGAAAAATTGCTATGGCAGTTAAAAATAATATAATTATACATTCGGTCTATGTTACTTACACATGTCATGTAATTAGATTTTCAATGGATGAAGTAAATATGTAAGTAACAATAATGAAATGTGTAATTATATGAACTTTTTAACTACCACGATAGCTTCTCCGTTGATAATTAAGTGGTCATTTATGTAATCTATCATGCAAACAAAAATAGTAAATACATAATTTTTAAAGTTGAGAAAATTTTGTTAATAAAACCTGTAGTGTACCAATAAAAGATAATATTTTAATTGTAATTAACATCAAATCACGGATTATATCTTGAATAACTTCTCATCTTCCCATTATTAAACAGAAAAAGAAAATCTCACAAACTTTTTCGTTGAAGACAACATTATTGCAGAGATATTCATAATCTCAGACATACATAATAGAATTTCATTATATATATATATGTATATTAGCTCTCTCTGCCTCTTATTCGTTTACCAGTGAACCAGTCTACCAAGCTAGCATTTCTATCAACAAAATCAGAAGAAAATGCTTATATTTTCATCATCAGAACAATATTTGGTTGGTATCTTCTTTTTCTTTTAGGGTTTCGGGTTTCGGGTTCACGGCCTTTCTTAAATGATTGACTATGATAATGTTCCCCCTAGAGTTTTGGTCTAAGAGTCAACTCTCAATCTCCAGGATGGTATGAAAGCCTGGCCAAAATTCTGAACTTAATCAAATGTAGTTTTGTTAGAGTTTAAGGTTTAGTTACGGTTTAGGGTTTAAGGTTTTTTCTTTAGTTGATTGATTGTGATGCTACCTGTGTAGGAGCAACTTACACTATCGATGCGGAGCAAGGAATGGCTCTTGTTTCCGGCCGAGCAAACTCGAAATCGATCTTGAAGAAGTTAACGAGATCAGGTATAGAGGTCGGCTGGACCAAGACCGGGAAGCCGAGCACTTACAGCAGCCATGGTCATGGTCCATATCTTCAGTCCCCTTACCAATATCAACAGCGTCCTGGTCACCATTACAACAGCAACTATTGTGAACACTATGGTTCCAATCCACCACATTTCGAACCTTATAGCTACTATTCCACTCACCACTATTAGAGGTGTTCATCTTAGACAAATGGTATCTTTTTTTTAGGGATCCATTTGCATTTGCATTTGATCTATGTTCAAGATAAACTATTTATTTTTCTGTTTAACGAATCCGTTTAATTTCAGGATTTATATTTGATGTTTTAGAATCCGTTTATTATTAGGGTTCATATTGATGCATAGTTCATTATGCTATCTACTTTATTTAAAATAAGGACTTTTTTCTTGTTTATAGTTGTTTTCATTAAGAGTATGTTTTTTATACATTTATCAATAAAGTTCGAATCCCAATATATACTTTTTCTTATACCGAGATGTGGTCATATTTAGAGCAAATTTCTCAATCATTATCCACGAATCAACTTACTTCAGTGGTTAAAGAAATAATTAATGTTCCTCAAGGCCATAGGTTCGAGCCCATGTTAATTATAAGATAATTGTTAAATATCAGATTCAGTCCCTCTTTCATGCTTAATTTAAGATTTAATTTTATAACTAACATATATTAATATTATTATATTTTAAAGAAAATCTTTTTTCAGTGAATCGGGAATTTCATGTTGGTTATGTTATGGACCATTTTTTTAAAAAAATTATATTTTAATTACTTATGTTATTAATTTATCAAAATAATCACTAGAGACCTCGTTATATTATTATTATGACACGTTAACAAGAACAATTCAATTTAACTCCTAAATTTTAATTGAAATGAAACAAAAATACATCACCAATATGATTATTCTATGTATATTAATCTATTAAAAAGTTTATGCTAATTGCTATTATCACACTATAGAGTGGTGGTAGACATTAATTTTAGGGTAAACTACGGATTTAGTACCTGAATTATCAGTTTTGATTCGCTTTAGTATCTAATTTTATTTTTTTCAAAATCATACATTTTTTTCATTTTAGTACCATGCCGTTAAATTTTGAAAAAAAATGAAAGTCTAGGTACCAAAACACATTTAGTACCTAAATCATATTTAAGTTTTGAGGAAAAAAATGAAAATTTAGGTATCAAAACGGATAGTTTAGGTACTAAACACGTTAAGTTTTTAATGATGGAATATTAAAATGAAACAAAAATAAACTTTAGGTATGATTTTGAAAAAATTGAAAGTTTAGGTACTAAAACGGACAAACACTAATAGTTTAGATACTAAATACACAATTTACCCTTAATTTTATTAAAAATAAAATGAAAAATTATGAAATTTAAAAGTGATAGTATTGTATATCTTATTAGACATATTTTTAATTAGATAATAATGACACATGACAAATGAGATCAGAATGATCCTTTAACCGTTCGATTTTATGTCGTATGTTCTAATGAATAAACATAATAGGTAATTTTAATGATAGAAAATGATACGAACATCCTAAAATTAAGTAAAAAAAATTATCACGTTTTAAATATATATGCATAGGGGTGAACATTCATTCGATTCGAGTAAAAAAAAATCGAGTTATTCGAGTTGACAAGTTATATTTTATAACTCGAACTTAACTTGAAATTTTTTCTAGCCGAGTCGAGTTTAAGAAATTTGTGTCGAGTTATTCGAATTTCTATATTAATTTTATTATACTTTTTATAGTATTATGATAATATTGATTTTAATTTAAAAAAGCTCGTTAGATCAAACAGCCTTAAGGATTGAAATGCAGATTTCAAATTTTTAGTGAGAGAAGCTCCTGCTTCTCTATAGATTTTTAGGCTTTTTTTTACAGCTCTTTCTTTGTTCTCTCTTTTTTGTCTTATGATGGCAAGTAAGGTGATTAGTTCTGCTGGGAAAAATTGTTTTACGGTGATCATTTTCAACATTCCAGAGCTTCTTCATCATAAAGGTCTTTGACTGTTATTCGATAAATATGGAGAGGTGGTCGATTCTTTCATCCCTAACAAAAGAAGCAAGGGAGGAAGTAGGTTTGGCTTTGTTCATTTCACTAGTTTGGAGGACGCAAGGAAGGCTATCACTGTGTTGACAGATCTAGGATTCGTGGTAATGAAGTTAGAGTTTTCTTGGCCAGATTTCAACCTCGGGCAGCTTTTTGGAGAAAGAAGTTTTTTGGTTTAAAACCAGCCGTGATCAAGAGTAAAAGGGAGGATGTTGGGCATTCAGAGGCTCCCATTGTGGGTTCTGTTGACGAGGACAAACTTTTAACTTGCAGAGGCAGCTTGGTAGGGTGGTGCAGAATTTTTTTTAAGATGAAAGAGTTTGCTGCTATTATGCACAAGGAAGGCATATTAGGCCCGAAAATTATGAGGTTAAGCGGGCTAGCAGTTCTAATCATTTTTGAAGATGAAGAGAGTAGGGATTTCACGCTGAATAATCAGGTGGGGGCATTGAATAAATGTTTTGGCAGAGTAGAAGTATGGTCGGAAAACTTTCAATGCAGCAGCCGCCGGGCGTGGCTATCATGCAAAGGGATCCCACCGTTTATGTGGAATCCTTCCATCTTCAGAAGCATTGCAGACAAATGGGGAGAACTTATCTCCATTGAGGAAGGATCTGTGAATCCAGGCTCTTTTGACAGGGCTTTGTTTCAAATTATTACAAATTGCCAAACACGTGTGGAAGAATCCGTTGTTTTGAAAGCTGGGGATTTGTTTTTTACAGTTTTTATTTCTGAGTTTGAGCCTTGTTTCAGTCCTGATTCGGTCTGGGCAGACTCGTTCTTGATGGATGAGGCAGTTGCCTCCCCGTTATCTTTGGTGGGGGAGCTTGTCGGTGTCTCTCCAGTTCTTTCTCCCGTGGTGGAGGTATGTCTTGAGGGAGCTGGTAGAAACGTGGACTCTTCGGTGGAGAAGATTTATGAGCGATGTTCTGTGGACGCAGAAAGTCTATTATGTTGTATAGGGGAAAGATATAGTGGCTGCATCTTGTCGGGTGGGGAAGTAGTGAAGAGGAACATAGGGGATGATTATATTATGGGTTTAAGGAATAATGTTGCTGGTATGGGGAAGATTCCTTCGGAATTCGAGGATGTGGTAGAGCACGAGATTGTGTTGGAACACGCGGTGAGAGAGTCAGTTTTTGAAAGCAGTGAAAGTTGTAAGTCTGCACGTGATATATAGGGAATAATGGATTTTTTTGATTTGTCCAACTTGGATGGTCGATTAAAGGCAAAGGTGATGAAGAACGTGATTAACATTATCAAAAAGCGTGCTATTAGTAGTTCCAAGGGTGTGGAGGCCCAACAGGATGGGGATGCCCAACATGATGGGGCTGTGGTTGACAGGTTGGATGGTAGAGCTAAATAGAGGTTTGTAGGTAAGGATTTGGAACAGAGTCTTAGAGTAATGGAGGGGAAATTAACTCTTTCCAATCTTTTGAAGAGACAGATTCGGGTCCCCAAATAAAGGCTAGATACTGCCGAACCAAGAAATAGAAGAAGGTTCAATGTGAGCGAGATTTGTCTATTCTTGGAGCCAAAATATGATTCCGTTTTTCCAGCTTTGGAGCAAGAGTCTACAGCTTGGTTTTCTGCCCTCTTCGTGTGGAAGCTCCTGGATGTTGTGTTTTATTTTGGCTTCTTTGGTTTGAGTCAGCTGTACTTTTTGGTCTTTATTTTAGGAGTTTTGTTTTCTGGCGCCCTTCGAGCCAAGAGTTAGGCTTTTAGTCGAGTCAGTCCTTTAGAGGCTGTTGTGGTTGATATGTTGGATTAGGTTGAGCTACTGTTGCTGCTGTGGGGGTGTTTTCGGTTGTTTTATGGTGTTTTGTTTTATGCAGGGGGTCGATCTCTGGATGTATATTGGTTTTCTTATGTTTAATGAAATCCTAAGGCACTCTTTTCCTCCTTCCGCTGATTAAGGAGCTATTCTATAGTGATATATGAGCATGTGGTTCAAATTTGGTGAAAAACGAACTTAAAGTATATGATGAATTGAATAAATAAGTAAATTATGAAAAATTGAGGGACTAAATTGAAAAATAGAAAACTTGTTATCAAAAAGAGAAATTGAAAGTATATATATATTCTACAATGGTTTAGGAGCATGTGGTTATTGACTTAAAATGAATGAGAAATTGAAAGAATAATGAAATTAGGGACTAAATCGTATAATTGTCAAAATACTTAGTCAAATTTTTTATTTTTCGAGTAACTCGAAATTTCAAAAATTTAACTCGAATTGAACTCGAAAACCGAATTGATAATTAGAGTTGACTCAAATAACTTGAAATTGATTTTTTTTCAATTTTTTAAATCGAGTCGAGTTTTGCTCATCCCTACATATAAATATTAATCTTACATTGTAAAAAAATCATAAAACATAAAATCGTAATATTATATACCTTATCAGACAATTTTCTTTCTGAAAAATAGATACACGTGAAACTATAAATAATGGATGGGAAGTTTTACAGAGTGGCACTCTTAATATATAGTTAAAAAAAGTGTTATCGATTTTGTTATTATTTAAATAATAAAATTGGTAAAAAATTACCTAAAATATTATTATTTCTACCTAAATCATCAATGTTTTTTTAATATTTTTGGTAAAGTACCCAACAATAACAAAACTGATAAAAGAATAACAAAACCGGTAACAATTTACCAAAACCGGTAAAACGCCAAATAATAACAAAACTAATAGAAATAATAATGTTTCCGATAACGTTTTTTTTAATCGTATATTAAGGCTGCCACGTGATCATTTCCCACGATCCAAAAGTAGAAGCATAAGATCCTCGCTCCATGGCACAATCACACGTGTACACTCCTAACGTGTCAAACAGAAAAAGCGAGTGTATTGACATTACGATACACCGAGAAACACCTAATAATTAACAGAAATCAAAAACAGTTTGGAAGCCAGTCTAGCTCTTTGCTGTCTATTAATGGGGAAACACTAAAAACCGTTCGGCTCTTAATTTCCCACTCTCTTCCCTTTACTTTATCAGAAGAAAAATGGACCCTTTTCTCTTCCTGCAACCTCTTTTCCTATCTATAAACAATCAACCGTCCAAAAATGCATTTTCTAACTCGTTAAATGGTTGTTTTCTCGTGTAAAATTTCGAAGGATATGGAATCCCTTCACGGACAAACCGCCAAACCTTCCTTTTAAAAGGGGTAAGCATTTCTGAGTTTGTTCTGTTTTTGCGTTTTCTGCATTGGGTTTATCAACTTTTAGTTATTTTGTTGTGCCTGTTGAATCATCGTTGTTTTCGTTTATGGGTCAATTAGGTGAGTTTGTTTTCTGTTTCATTGGGATTGAAATATTTTTGGAGATTTTCCAGTTTTTGTGATTCTTTTGTTGAATGTTTAGAAGTTAAAATCAACCTGTAGGATGGTTTCTTGTTAATGTTCTTGTTCATGGGATCTAAAGATGAGTTATTGATTTGGATTTTCTATTTTTGGATTATGTCAGTTTGTATATGTTAAGATGCTATATATAAGGATGGTTTCATGAGGGATTCTTGGTATCTTAATGCTAACAGGGATCTAAAGGTGAGACATTGATTTTGTTTTTTGATTTTCAGATTCCGGGCTTGAGGAATCTTGTTGGAATGGTTGGCTGCTAGGTTAATTCAAATTGGATTTTGAATCCGGCATTGTGACAATTGGTAATTGGATTCTGGATTATGGATTCATTGGGTGTAACTTGCAGACAAACTTCCGGCTAGATTTTTCTTGTTCTGCTCAGATAATCTTTAGATATGCCTGCCGGGAAATCGGGTGGTTCAAACAATTCATCATCGGTCCTAAAGTCTACCTCGGCCGATATAATCATCGAAGCAGAAAAAGCCACTTATGTTAGACACATAAACATTTATCTTGCGGATGATCCGTATTTAAAGCAGTTTCTTCCGCTGGATCCAGCAACCAATGACATTTTCAATCTTGCAAAAGATGGTGTACTTTTATGGTATTTTTATCTGTGCTCCATTATGTATGTGCTCTTTTCGGTTTTTAATAAAAGCTCCTACGGAGGCTTTGACACCGGTTCTGTTCTTATGTACTTTTGCAGTAAGCTTATCAATATTGCTGTTCCTGGAACAATACATGAACGAGCTATTAACACAAAAAAGGAATTTAGCATATGGGAGAGGAATGAGAACCATACCCTTGGTCTCAACTCTGCAAAGGCTATTGGTTGCACCGTGGTAAACATTGGCACCCAGGACTTAATTGAAGGAAAGGTTAGTACTAATAGACATATTCCTATGTGGGAAGAAGGATATTTTCTTAGTATCTGATGTTTTTGACCTTGGTTACTTGTATTGCAGCCTAATCTCTTATTCGGTTTGATCGCTCAAATTATAAAGGTAGGCATTTAAATTAACGTGATAGATCGATAATAGTAGGATGTTAAACTCAAGTTGTTTTCTGCTACTCTTTTTCTCACCCATTCTATCTGTGACAAATGCAGATTCAACTGTTGGCAGATCTCAACCTTAAGAAGACACCTCAGCTTGTAGAAGTGCTGAAGGATGAAGATGGAGTAGTATACTTCTTTATCTCCTGATTGTTGTTTAACTAAGGATTAATTCATGAAATAAACATTTCTTTCGAACAAAGGGACTGATTTATTTTGGTTTGGATTATCAGTACTTACAGGATATCGAGGAACTTGTGGGGTTAGCTCCTGAGAAGGTCCTACTAAAATGGATGAATTACCATTTAAAGAAAGGGGGATATGAAATAACCGTTACAAATTTTTCTTCAGATCTGAAGGTATTTGACTATGTTAATACCACATTTAGCAGCAAGCATATGAGAAACTGAATTTGGGGTTCGAGGTGGATGTTCATACTACAATTAGATGCATGGCTTTCTTTTGCTTGCTTCGATAGTTAAATGTTTTACTCATTTCCATACCTGCAGGATGCAAAAGCTTATGCTTACCTGCTTAACATGCTAGCACCAGAGCACGGTAATAAGTTGACCCTTGAAACGAAGGATCCGATCGAAAGGGCTACATTGGTACTTGAGCATGCAGAGAGACTTGGATGTAAACGATATTTAAACCCTCAAGACATTGTTGAAGGCTCGTCAAACTTGAATCTTGCATTTTTAGCTCATATCTTTCATCATAGGTGAGAAATCACAAACCAAAAGGGATACACTGGTACACTTTTCCCTCATTGCATATTGTCTCTAGTTTTATAATTGGGTAATAAAAACATGTGTGCTTTTGCAGGAATGGCCTGACTGTAGAGAAAGAAAAGATTTATTTTGAAGAAAGGATGACAGATGATGTGGAACTTTCAAGAGACGAGAGACGCTTTCAACTATGGATGAACAGTCTCGGAATCGAGACTTGTGTCAATAATCTCTTTCAGGATGTAAGAACTGGGTAAGTTTTCGAAGCTGACACTTGTTGCATATGTTTATGGAATTGCAATTCCAGCTTATGAAGTAAGGCATCGTACTAATTCCGTAATCCAATATTTCAACCATCAACATGAAGGAGGTTGATTTTGATACAGATGGGCGCTTTTAGAGGTGCTTGATAAGGTTGCTCCTGGATCAGTCAACTGGAAGCATGCATCGAAACCTCCGATTAAGTTTCATATTAGAAAGGTGGAAAATTGCAACCAAGTCGTAAAGATCGGGGAGAGGTTGAGATTTTCCGTTGTGAATCTTGATGGAAATGATATAGTTCAAGGAAATAAAAAACTTATAGTCGGTAATTTCTTTTGTCTTTTTCTTTTTTTACTTAATATGATTCTCTTCACGGCTTGGCACGTATTGCCTCCATTACGAAGTTCAACCAGTACTTTACGTCTGGTGTAAATTGAATACCTCAACCTGCATGAAAAGTCTGAAAGTTGTTTTTCATCTTTCAATGTATATAGTTGCTGATCCTATATACGCTGTCATTTGAGCTTTCGTTGTTCGTATACAATACTTTTTGTTGTTTAATACCGAAAAAAAATTCCGATCATTGTTGAAACTGGATCACATGTATTACAGCTTTCCTATGGCAATTGATGAGGTATAACATGCTTCAAGTTTTGAAAAGCTTGAGATCTTGCTCCCGAGGGAAGGACATAACCAATTCATATATCATAGCTTGGGCAAACAGCAAAGTTAAAAGCACCGGAAGATCCCATCAAATAAAAAGCTTCAAGGTTTCACAATGATTTCCGCTTCTTCTTATAATAATAATATCGATTTTGATAGTTAAAACTATCGATTTGTAAATATGTTATCCTAAATCTTCAGGATAAGAGCCTTTCGTCAGGACTGTTCTTCCTTGAACTTTTAAGCGCAGTGGAGCCAAGAGTGGTTAACTGGTGCCTCGTAACCAAGGGTGACACTGGTACGATTACTTGCTAACTTGAATTAACTCGAAAGTTCTCTTTTCTTTGTCGGAGAAAATGTCGAGATACAGCCGATCTTAACGGTTTTTATCCTTTTTGGAATCCTAGAGGAAGAGAAGAGGTTGAATGCAACATATATCTTAAGTTTGGCACGTAAACTCGGGTGCTCCATCTTCTTGTTGCCTGAGGACATCATGGAGGTAACGTTGCTACTGTACACAATTCACACTGTGAATCTAAAAAAAATTATATCTACAAACGATAATAAATAGGAAATAATTAAATTGAATATGTGGAATTCGCTCATGGATGTTCTTATGGTAAGGCAGGTAAACCAGAAGATGATGCTCACTTTAACAGCCTGCATTATGTGCTGGTCCCTCCAAAACTCACCGAAAGAGGCTGAGGCTGGTAATGGAAGTTCCTAACACTGTGGTGAAATCTCAAGCTTAAACATCGACAATACTGCCTCGAACATTACAGTCTCACCATCCTAGTTTAAGAATGGAAATGTCATTGCTTAGTAAAGGATACTGAATGGCAATTGTTTACCTCCATACATTGTCAGACCATGTAGAAAGGAAAGGAATAGTATGCTTGCAATCTATGTTACTCGGACTTGGCAGCAACTGTTGGACAATGAGTTTGTTTTCATCATATGTTCGGTAAGTGTCGAAATGAAAGGAATAGTATGCATTTAGGGTTTAGGTTTATGTAGTTTATGTATTGGATTGATTGTGATGCTACTTGTGTAGGAGCAACTTAAACCATCGAAGCAGAGCAAGTAATGGCTCGTTTCTAGCGGAGCAAATTCGAAATCGATCTTGACGAAGCTGACGAAATCGGGTATAAAGGTCGCCTGGATCAAGACCGGGAAGCCGAGTACTTACGGAAGCCATGGTCATGGTCCATATCTTTAGCCCCCTTCCAATATCATCAGCGTCCTGATCACCATTACAACAGCAACTATTGTGAACCCTATGGAAATCCGTTTATTATTAGGGTTCACATGTTAATGTATAATTTTTTATGATATATTTAAAATATAGAGACATATTTTGTATTTATACTTTGTTTTCATTAAGTATAATATACTTTGTTTATGCATTTATCAGAGAAAGTTCGAATTTTAATATCTGCCGTCTTTTTCTATATCGAAATGTGGTCTTATTTGGAGCAAATTTCTCAACGATCCCACCACCTCTGAGATTTTGGCCACTATAAGATAATAGTCAAATGTCATGTCCATTCCTTCTATTATGCTTAGTTTATGATTTATAATTTTATAATAAATAAAATAAAATCTATAATTAATATTATTACATTTTAAAAGAGAATCTTTTTTCGGTGAACGAGGAATTTCATGCTAGTTATGTTTAAGTCTTAACCACATATGCTAACGAGAGTTTAATAGACTTAAAAAGTTATATTTAAAATTTGAAGATATTAAATTTGATTTAGAAAAAATATTTTGTGGGTAAACTTTACTGGCAGTTCCTCAACTTTTAAAATACTTATATTTTGATCATTAACTTTTAAAATTTACATTAGAGTTATCAAACTTTTAGTTGGCTTTTATTTAAGCTTGTAATTTATGTTATAAGTAATGTGACTGACATAAAAGAAATTGAAAAATATCCAAAATATTATTTATCTGATTTTTTATGTAAATAGAAATCGTTAGTTTATCAAAACAGATGAAATATCTAAAATTACAGTGCAGGCTTACAACTAAACATAAATTAAACACATAATTAGAACATATTCTTATAACAATTGACACAAGAAACTAGCCATTAGATATCATACAAAGAAAACGTTGAAAATCTATCCAAAAATTCGAACAAATATAGATGTGGACAAATCTAATTGCACCAAAAAGGCCTACAACAAGGGATCAAACTATTGAAAACTGACAATCACAAATAAGAGTCGAATGTTGTGAGAAAATTATCTTTAAACACAAATCGCAAATTCAAATCTCATATAAAAATTAAAGCAGTAGAGATCAACAATATAATAAATAAAAGTTATTTTAATCATACGATATGTGGTTAACTTTAACCTTAAAAAATTAAAGAAAATACCAAACCATCGATAAAAAACGCCAAAAATTATAAAGCAGGGGCGGATGCATGCTGATTCGCAACATTTTGCATAATTCATCCAAAAGTATATGCATAAGACCTTAGAGTTCATGGCACAATCCCACGTGTACACACAGCTCCCTTACGTGTCAAACAACAGAAACGGGTGCATTCTCTTTTACGATATACCAAGAAACACCGAATAATTAACAGAAAAAAAAAAACAGTTTGGAAACCAGTCTAGCTCTTTGCTGTTGTGAAAAAACTGAAGACCGTTCATTTCTTAATTTCTCACTCTCTATCCTTTACTTTCTCATGAGAAAAATGGACCCTTTTCTCTTCCAGCAACCATACAGAAATTCACTTACTAACTCGTTAAATGGCTGTTTTCTCGTGGACAAACCGCAAAACCTTGCTTTTAGAAGGGGTAAGCATTTCTGGGTTTGTTTTGTTTTTGTGCTTTCCGCATTGGGTTTATCAACTTTTAGTTAAGTGGTTGTGCCTGTTGTGTTTTCACTTATGGTTCAATAGGTGTGTTTGTTTTCTGTTTCATTGGAATTGAAATAGTTTTGAAGAATTTCCAGTTTTTGTGATTCTTTTGTTCATTGTTTAGTAGTTAAAATCAACCAGTAGGATGGCTTCTTGTTCATGTTCATGTTCGTGGTTTCTATTTCTAGATTATGTCAGTTTGCATATGTTAAGATGGAATTTATAAGGATGGTTTCATGAGGGATTCTTGGTATCTTAATGCTAACAGGGATCTAAAGGTGAGTCATCGGTTTTGTTTTCTGATTTTCTGATTCCGGCCTTGAGGAATCTTGTTGGAAAGTTTTTCTGCTAGGTTAATTCAGATTGGATTTTGAATCCTACATTGTATCAATTGGTAATTGGATTCTAGATTCATTGGGTGTAACTTGCAGGCAAACTTCCGGCTAGATTTTTCTTGTTCTGCTCAGATAATCTTTAGATATGTCTACGGGGAAATCGGGCGGTTCAAAGAATTCATCATCGGTCCTAAAGTCCACCTCGACCGATATAATCATCGAAGCAGAAAAAGCCACTTATGTTAGACACATAAACATTTATCTCGCGGATGATCCGTTTTTAAAGCAGTTTCTTCCACTGGATCCAGCTACCAATGACCTTTTCAATCTTGCAAAAGATGGTGTACTTTTATGGTATTTTTATCTGTGCTCCATTATGTATTTGCTCTTTTTGGTTTTTAATAGAAGCTGCTACGGATCATTGACACCGGTTCTGTTGTCATGTACTTCTGCAGTAAGCTTATCAATATTGCTGTTCCCGGAACAATATATGAACGAGCTATTAACACGAAAACAGAACTTAGCCTATGGGAGAGGAATGAGAACCATACCCTTGGTCTCAACTCCGCAAAGGCTATTGGTTGCACCGTGGTAAACATTGGCACCCTGGACTTAATTGAAGGAAGGGTTAGTACTGACTACCGATAGACATATTCCCATGTGAGTAGGAGATTTTCTTATTCTCCGATGTTTTTGACCTCGGTTACTTGTATTGCAGCCTAATCTCTTATTCAGTTTGATCGCTCAAATTATAAAGGTATGCATTTAAATGGACGTGATAGACCGATAATAGTAGGATGTTAACTCAAGTTTTTTTTCTGGTACTCTTTTTCTCATCCATTCTATCTGTGACAAATGCAGATTCAACTGTTGGCAGATCTCAACCTTAAGAAGACACCTCAGCTTGTAGAAGTGCTGAAGGATGATGATGGAGTAATTTATTTCTCTATCCCCTGATTGATGTTTAACAAAGGATTAATTCATGAAATAACATTTCTTTCGAACAAAAGGACTGATTTATTTCGGTTTGGATTATCAGTACTTACAGGATATCGAGGAACTTATGGGGTTAGCTCCAGAGAAGGTCCTACTAAGATGGATGAATTACCATTTAAAGAAAGGGGGCTATGACATAATTGTTACAAATTTTTCTTCTGATGTGAAGGTATTCGACCATGTTAATACTACATTTAGCAGCAAGCATATGATAAACCGAATTTGCTTGCTTTGATAGTTAAATGTTTTACTCATTCCCATAACTGCAGGATGCGAAAGCTTATGCTTACCTGCTTAACATACTAGCTCCAGAGCACAGTAATACGTTGACCCTTGATACGAAGGATGTAATCGAAAGGGCTACATTGGTACTTGACCATGCAGAGAGAATGGGATGTAACGATATTTAAACCCACAAGACATTGTTGAAGGCTCACCAAACTTGAATCTTGCATTTGTAGCTCAAATCTTTCATCAAAGGTGAGAAATCACAAATCTTTCAAATCTTGCATATTGCCTCTAGTTTTATAGTTAGGTGATGAAAACATGTGTGCTTTTGCAGGAACGGCCTGAGTGTAGATGACGAAAAGATTTCTTTTGAAGAAAGTGTGACAGATGACGTGCACCTTTCAAGAGACGAGAGACGCTTTCGACTATGGATGAACAGTCTCGGAATTGAGACTTGTGTTAATAATCTCTTTGAGGATGTCAAAACCGGGTAAGTCTTCGAAGCTGGCACTTGTTGAATATGTTTCTGGAGTTGCAGTTGCAGCTTATGATGTCAGGCATCGTAGTAGTTCCGTCATCCAATATTTCAACCATCGACATAAAGGAGCTTGTTTTTGATACAGATGGGCACTTTTAGAGGTTCTTGATAAGGTTGCTCCTGGATCAGTCAACTGGAAGCATGCAACGAAACCTCCGATTAAGTTTCATATTAGACAGGTGGAAAATTGCAACCTAGTCGTAATGATCGGGGAGAGCTTGAGATTTTCCGTTGTGAATCTTGGTGGAAATGATATAGTTCAAGGGAATAAAAAACTTATAGTCGGTAATTTCCTTCGTCCTTTATTCTTTACGTAATATGATTCTCTTCACGCCTTGGCATGTTTTACCTCCATGACAAAGTTCAACCAGTACTTTACGTCTGGTACCTCAACCTGCATGAAAATAATGAAAGTAGATTTTCTTGTTTCGATGTATATAGTTGTTGATCCTATATATGCTATCATTTGAGCTTTCATGATTCGTATATGATGCGTTTTGTTGTTTAATACCGAAAAGGAAATTACAATCGTTGTTGAAAGCGGATTACATGTATTACAGCTTTCCTATGGCAATTGATGAGGTATAACGTGCTTCAAATTTTGAAGAGCTTGAGATCTTGCTCCGGAGGGAAGGACATAAGTAATTCATATATCATAGCTTGGGCAAACAGGAAAGTTAAAAGAACCGGAAGATCCCATCAAATAGAAAGCTTCAAGGTTTCATGTCGATTTCCATTTCTTCTTATAACAATAATATCGATTTTGATAGTTAAAACTGACAATTTGTATTCTAAATCTGCAGGATAAGAGCCTTTCGTCAGGACTGTTCTTCCTTGAACTTTTAAGCGCAGTGGAGCCAAGAGTGGTCAACTGGAGCCTTATAACCAAGGGTGAAAGTGGTATGATTACTTGCTAACTCGAATTAACTCGAAAGTTCTCTATCTTTGCCGAGATAGAACCGATCTTAACAGTTTTTATCCTCTTTGGAATTGTAGAGGAAGAGAAGAGGTTGAATGCAACATATATCATAAGCGTGGCTCGTAAACTCGGGTGCTCCATCTTCTTGCTGCCTGAGGACATCATGGAGGTAATGTTGCAACTGAACACGATCCGCATTGTGAATCTCGAAAATTTTTATATCTACAAATGATAAGTATGAAATAATTAAATTGAATATACGGAATTCGCACATGGATTTTCTTATGGTGTGGCAGGTAAACCAGAAGATGATGCTCACTTTAATAGCCAGCATTATGTGCTGGTGCCTCCAAAACTCACCGGAAGAGGATGAGGCTGGTAATGGCTATAGTAATGCTTATACATCGAATGCATCTCCAGCGCCATCCACAGTCGATGAGGATGAAAGTTCCTCACACTGTGGTGAAATCTCAAGCTTAAACATCGACAATGCCGCCTCGGACATTACAGTATCACCATCCCAGTTTGAGAATGGAGATGCTATTGATGAGTAAAGGATACTGAATGGCAATTGTTTACCTCCATAGATCGTAGATTGCAGAAATTGTGTTTTAGATAATATATTTTTTACTATAAAAGCATAAATTATTGTAAAGAACATAGGAAGAAAGAAATGAAAATGACTAAATTTGATGAATTAGGCCAAAACTGTTATATCTCAATTTATAAACGGTCACGCCAACGTTTCCATTATTGATTTAATTCACAAAATTTTTGTTCAATAATCAAAACAAAATGAAAACCATAGTTTAATGGCTAATAGGATAATTTACTCTAAAAATTAAAGTGAAAGAAGCATAAGGTTATAAAATAAGAGAATTATTCTTGATAACAAATATTATTATGCTATTATATTTATAATTTTTTTGAGAAAAGGAATATTAAATTAAGGGTAAAGCACGTGAATGGTCACCCGGCTATAGGACACTGGTTTGTTGAGTCTCTCGATTTTTAAAAGTTACAAAATGATCATTTGACTATAGGATGTTGCTTTGTTGAGTCCTGACTATTAAAGGTTATAAAATTTTCACCTGACTATTCATATGTTTCAAACTTGTCTTTATTAAAACATGACTTTATCATATTTCAATCAATAAGTTAAAATCCAACTCAAACGACCGACAATTTTTAACGAAAAAGAACGAGTTTAAAACATATGGACAATCAATAGACCATTTTATAACTTTTAATAGTCAATGGACTTAACAAAGCAACATCCTATAATTTGAAAATCATTTTGTAATTTTTAATAGTTAGAAGATTCAACAAATCAACATCTTATAATCGAGGGATCATTTATGTAAATTATCCTCAAATTAATTAGTCGGAAATGACCTTCTTAATCATGACATCGAAGGATAGACTCTACATCAGCCGCATTAAACACTTGTGTGACCTGTCTCCTATCCCATTGCCTCTTGCCCAATCTTGCTGTCAAGACATGTGGCTCATGTATTAGGCGCCATATTTGTTTGTCGACCAAAGTCAAATCGGAGCTATTCAAATCCCGAAACCTAGTACGAATTGAATGATTTTAATAATAATAAAAAATATTGTTGTTCATTAAAGTTATTAGTTCAAGCACCATAAATATTATAGGAGTAAATGTTCAATGTCAAATAATTAAAATTTATCTTTAAATAAATATTGTCTTATACTAATAAAAAAATCTCAAAATTTAAGGCCACTAAAAAAATATTAATATACTAATAAATATTGTCTTTAAATAGTTTAATGCATCATTAATGGTCTAAATTAGTTTATTTGTTATAATTATATAATAGTGTGAGTGTAAATAATTTAATTTATCTATAGTAAAAGTTGGATGCTGTAATCTATTTAAAAAGTAGATTACTCAATGTTAATTTAAGTTTTTTTCATTAAGGAGTAAATTCTTTTACGAAAGACTTTATATTCCAATTGAATTTGTACTATTTATTACAGTAACCGATTATCGATGGATTTAAAAATATTTTTTAAGATCAACACATTAATATATTAACAACATAATTTTTTATATAATTATAACAAATAAACTAAAATTTAGAATCTAATATAAAATTCTAGTATTAAATAATTTTCAAACACTATAATTTTATATTTATATCCGATAAACTAAACAAACACACATAAAATTGTCAATTATATATAAATAATATTACATCCTATTTTTTTCACAATGTGATTTATATTACGCAAATCAATCCATCCTAAAAATGGAAAATAAATCCAAAAACACGTAGAATTCGTGGATTATCCTTTCATCTACACGATTTCTCAAGAGCGGTGCAAGAGCTAAGCAGACAGAAGTGAGCGTGAGATTTGCCAGAGCCAATGGTCCTGAAATGGCCCTGTGAAGCCTCAGTTCGACCTTCTTCTTCAATATGATCTCCATATCCACCAAAATTCCCTGTAAAACAAAGAACCAAGTAATCTCCCACGTAGGGTTTTCACGCAATATATTGTAATAAACCAGTTCATGCATAAGACCAGAGGTGACAAACGTAACGAAAACAGCCGGTAGTGAACCCCATCTGGCTCCGATTGTACGTATCGATATACTTCGTATAGGGTCGTATACGACGAGACGTAACGTCTCCGAGACCCTGAGGTTCCACCTATGGCCCCAAAAATCTTGCAACGAAGAGGCAAAGAGAGGTGATTTGAACTGTGGCTCGAGATCAACCCTAAAGACGAGCTGTGCTGGGATTGCGGCCATGGTGAAAATAACTTCTACCCCAACCCAAATTTGGAATCCGAAAAGGAGTGACCAAACATGTTTGTGAAAACATTGTTTGTAATGATGAGAAACGAAGGATAAAACTAGCCATAATGAAGCTTTGCAAGCGGCCTCTAGAATCAAAGTTAAAGGAACTTTGGAGTGAATGGGTTGTTTGATTTTGAATGGAGAACAGGCTTTGAGGATGAACACATGCCTAGCCGGTGGTGACGATAAGGGACCGTGATCGAAGGCGAATGCTAGAAGGTTGAAGTTGGTGAGCCAAGAGAGGAGAAGCACCAGCGGGGGACCAAGATAGATGGTGTGAAGTTTGAAGGGGATGATAGATAGGAGGGTAATGGCAGGGAGGAGGGCCAGAAGCCTAGGCAAGCCCTTGGGGGTATTTGCTGCAATGTGGTGGCAATAGGATAAGGATGCCAATGTGGTGACCACTGCCATAATCAACTTCTTCAGCTCACTCTCAACTCCCATTCCCATATCTTTCATTTTTTCAGTAATCTTCAACCAACTCTTTTCTCTGTAGTCATTATGCTTCATCACATTCACACACACGTATGTATATATATATATATATATCACTTACTAGGGAAAAATATAACGAATTTAAAATATGTCATAATTTACCGATAAAAATAAAATATTTCGTCACAAAGTTATGATTTGATTATAGTTTTTGACCTAATTATTTTTCCGTCAAAAATTGTGTTCATTGCAATAAAAAATATCAAATCTTAATTTATGATAGAACAACGATTTCATCTAAAATTTTGTTCATTTTAAATAAAATATATACCAATTTAATTTGTTATGTAACAGTTGAAAATAAAAAAATATAAAAAAATAACTATTTCAGTGCACATTTATTCTACAACTACCGATCTTCCTTTTTCAACTCTACAGACAAACATTAACTCTATCTAATTAACACATTAATTATCTTCACCTCAAAACTATAAACAATTACCGTTTAATATTTTTTTTCTTCAATCCTCTCATTTCCATTGTCATTATCATTCCCCACCCCCACTGTTTCTTCTTAATTAATAACTTCCTTTTAAAAATATTGAGAACATGTTATTATTTTTTATATTTATAAAAAATAATATTTTAAATTTTTTCAGAACTCCAATTTTTTTTTGCCGAATTTATAAGTTGAGATAAATTTTAATTTTAATTTTAATTTTTAAAACATAATGCTATCAATTTATTAGTATTAGTCTATTAATTAAAAAAGTGTAAAATATATCAAAAAGTAAAGAAAACATTTTTACATATAACATGGTTTATTAATGTCTAAATTCTACTTCTTGTATTATTTAAAAATAAAAATAAAAATAGTAATATATATTAAGATTAAATAAAATATTTTTTTCATGTAATTTACAATAATAATATCTTAAGTTCTTATTTTTGGTTTTTTTAAAAAATTTAAAAAATTGTTAATAAAATTATTATTTAAAAATTTACTAATTTATCTTAATTTAAGAATACAATAAAAACAGAATTCGATACAATATGGATCGATCTTGGATGTACAATATTGATAGGCTAATAAATGGTCACATTATTAATCATGATTTTGAGTGAACATTGTTGGAAATATTAGGTGTCACACCTCCGACCCGTACTCGACCCGGATATGAATATGAGGTTTAACATTACTTTTCAACTCTTTGACTCTTTGAAATTCGACTAAAATTCGACTTTTTATCTTTATTTTAGTGGCGAAGCCCTTATTAACACGAGTTAAAATCGAAATTAATATTATACGATGAAAACAAATATTTAATATACTTACATAACTCTAATTGGTATAGTTACAAAACATATTAGAGCATTTGCAATTTAAACATTTGTAGTACATGCCAACAAAATTTCAAAATAACAAAATCACCTATTGTTCAAATCGGTCTGATCTAATCTTCTTCAAAGGTATATTGTCCTGAACTAGCTTTACTCTGCTGACTTCTTTGAACCTACGAGTGAAAACACTCACACGCTAAGTTTTTAACTTAGTGAGGCATAAATGAGCATAATAAAACATTAAAATGAATTTTAAATTCATTTCATGCAAAAAGACCATTTTGTCATTCTCTCCTTCAATCTTTGATAATATATCATAAACAATTTCAAATCAATCCTTGAACATTTCAATTTATCAAAATCAAACCACTAAATTTTGAATACTTACACTTTAGTCACTGACCCAATATTTGGGGTATTACAATTCTCTCCCTTATGAAAATTCGTCCTTGAATTTTCACTGCACAAAGAGATGAGAAAATTGTCTTCTCATGTCCTCTTCACGTTCTCATGTCGCCTCTTCAACTTTGTGATTTCTCCAAGGAACTTTAACTAACAGAATTGTCTTGTTCCTTAGTTGTTGGACTTCATGTGCTAAAACCTGCACTGGTTCTTCCTCATAGGTCAGGTCAGATTGGACTTATATCTCTTTCGGTGCTATGATGTGAGAAGGATCTGATCGATTTCTTCTGAGAATTGAAACATAAAAAACATTGTGGATCTTCTTCATTTCTGGTGGCAATGCTAACTGATATTCTACTGGTCCCACTCTTTTTATAATCTTATACGGTCCAATTAATCTAGGATTGAGCTTTCCCTTTCGACCAAAACGAAGCACTTTCTTCCAAGGAAAAGTTTTCAAAAACACTTTATCTCCTACTTGATACTCAATCTCCTTTCTTTTTTAAATCTGTGTAGGACTTTTGTCTGTCTGCTGCCACTTTAATGTTATGTTGGATCACCTGGACCTTTTCTTCTATTTCTTTAATCAAATCAGAATCAAGAATGTCTTGATATTTTAATTCGTACCAATTAAGCGGCATTCTACATTTTCTTCCATACAACGCCTCATACGGTGCCATTTTAATGCTCGATTAATAACTGTTATTGTACGCAAACTCTACGGGCGGCAGATACTTCTCCCAAGATCCATTGAAATCAATCACACATGCCCTTAGTATATCTTCCAAAATCTGGATAGTCCACTCAGATTAACCATCTGTCTGTGGGTGAAAGGATGTACTAAAATTCAATCGAGTACCCAAGGCTTCATGTAAAGACTTCTAAAACCTTGACGTAAACCTTGGATCTCTGTCAGATACTATTAAACTTGGAACTCCATGAAGTCGAGCAATCTCCTTGATATATAATTCAATATATTTATTCATCGAATAATTAGTTCGAATCAGAATAAAATGCGCTGTCTTCGTCAATCTATCAACTATCACCCAAATATAATCCTTTTTATTATTTGTTAATGGTAACTCTGTTACGAAATCCATCATAACTTTATCCTATTTCCATTGAGGATTGAAGATTGGTTGTAAAAGTCCTGAAGGTACCTGATGTTCTGCTTTTACTTGTTGACAAGTTAAGCACTTTGCAACAAACTCTGTGATAGCTCTTTTCATACTTGGCCACCAGTATCGGCCTTTTAAATCTTGATACATCTTGTTCTCTCCTGGATGCATAGTCAACGGACTACAATGCTCTTTAAAAAGTATATTTTTCTTCAACTCTTCATCACTTGGAACACAAACTCAGTCTCTGTAGTATAAACATCCATCAGACTTTACTTCAAAGTCTTTGATTTCACTTTTTTCCACTTGTTCCATTATTGCTAAACAATTTTCATCTCTCTTTTGTAACTCTTTTATTCGCTCCAACAATAAAGGTTTTAGCTTTAATTCAGCCACTAGAGCACCACTGTGCTTTAAAAATAATCAGACATATAACATACGTAAAGCTGAAGAAGTCTTTTGACTAAGTGCATCAGTTACAACATTAGCCTTCCTTGGGTAATAGTCTATGATTGCATCATAATCTTTAAGTAACTCGATCCATCTCCTCTGTCTCAAGTTTAACACTTTTTGAGTCAGAAAATACTTTAAACTTTTGTGATCAGTGTAAATATAATATCGCTCACCATATAAAATAGTGGCATCATATCTTTAGTGCAAACATCACCGCTGCTAACTCAAGATCATGTGTCAGATAATTTCTTTCATGTGGCTTAAGCTGTCTCGAATCATAGGCTACTATCTTTCCATCTTGCATCAAAACACATCCCATACCATTATGAGAAGCGTCACTATAAATTGTATAGTCCTTGCCCAATTCTGGTTGTACTAGCACTAGAGCCTCCGTTAGAACCTTATTTAAGGATTTAAAACTCTCTTGGCATTTATCCATCCAAATGAATGACACATATTTCCTCAACAGCTTTGTCAATGTGGAAGCAATCATCGAAAAGTCCCTTACAAACCTTCGATAATATCCAGCTAATCCTAAGAAACTTTGTACTTCATAAACATTTCTTTGAACTTCTCAATCTATAATATCTTTAATCTTCTGAGGATTCACCTAAATCCCCTCTGCAGATATTACATGTTCAAGGAATGCAACTTCAAGTAACCAAAACTCACACTTAGACAACTTAGCATAAAGCTTCTTATCCCGAAGTGTTTGAAGAATCACTTGAAGATGGGTGTCATGTTCTTCATTTGTCTTTGAATAAACCAAGATATCATCAATGAAGATGACAACGAACTGATTGAGGTACGGTTGGAATACCCTATTCATAAGATCCATAAACACTGTCGGTGCATTAGTTAATCCAAACGGCATTACTACAAACTCATAATAGCCATATTGGGTCATAAAAGCCTTTTTTGGTATATCCTCTTCTTGTATCTTCAGCTAGTGATAGCCAGAGTGCAAATCAATTTTGGATAACACCAAAGCTCCCTAGAGTTGATTAAATAAATCGCCGATTCTTGAGATATGATACTTATTCTTTATTGTCACCTTGTTGAGCTGCCGATAATCAATACAGAGATGCATCGAACCATCTTTCTTCTTTACAAATATGACTGATGCACCCCAAGGTGATACACTAGTCTGATGAATCCTTTATCCAATAACTTTTGCAACTGAGCCTTTAACTCACTCAGTTCCTTCGAGGCTATTCTATAAGGAGCCATTGAAATTGGTGTCATTCTAGGCATTACCTCAATTTGAAATTTAATATCTCTATCTGAAGGTAATCCCGATAATTCATCTAGAAACACATCTGGAAATTCTCTGATCGTCAGAATGTCCACTAATCTCATCTCTGGGACTCGAGTATCAATCACATTGGCGATAAAAGCTTGACATCCTTGCAACATTAGCTTATTAGCTGACATTACCGATATCATATTAGATAATGGATTAATTCTCTCGCTGACCACAACTATCTCTGATTCATCATAACTTCTCAAAATTACTCGCTTCAATCGACAATCAACATTAGCATGGTAACGATACAACCAATCCATTCCGAATATAACCTCAAACTTGTCAAAGGGTAATTCCATTATATTAGTAGGAAATTCAATTCCTTGAATCCTTATAGGACACCCTCGACAAATCTGGTTCACCCAAGAACTATGCCCTAGCAGGTTAGTCACAATAACATCACTACTTATAGCTTTTAACTCGATTTCCGAATCTCTCATTAGTT